AGAGTCCGTCGCTGGATATGGATATGGATATGTTAAATAGGCAGAGTAGGCAATATGGGGCTATAGAATTAATCATTTTCTTGACTTTAAACGGCAATTTAAATAACCAGCCAACTTATTTTTTAGGGATTCGTGACGCTGTCCTTGCGGGAAATATTGACAATGCTATTACATTAACTAATAGTTTGTACCCTGGTGTTTTACAATCCAATGATGACATTCTTTTCCAACTTCGGTGCCGTAAATTCATTGAGATGATAGGCGCTTGTGCAGGAACCCAAATAACATTATCAGATCATGAAGACGCTAGCATAAAGGTTGATAATAGCCATACAATGATCGATGAAGATGATACCGATGACGATGAGGTTGTCAATGAAAGCGCTGAGGAAGACGAAGATGACAATGATGAGGAGGAAGACGAAGAATACGAAGATGCGATGGACGTCGATGAGTTCACTGCTATTGTCTCTCAAAGTGATTGTGAATCGGGAGATGAGATAGACGGTCCATTGACTCCACCTAAAAAGAGAAGAGTGCCTAAACGGCGAAAAGTTGCTTTGGGTTTACATGGATTGGATGATGCAATGACAGCAGTATTAAAATTTGGTTGCGAGTTGCAAGATGATTACCGTAATGATGATCGCGAAGAGATAAGGAATGCACTTAAGGTTTGATTTATAAGTTAGAGTTTATATTTCATAATTATTTGCAAAGCGTTCTTATTACTTACCTGTTACCTTTAGGATGCGTTCTCATTAATGGCATACGATGATCCACGCGTTAGCTGTGTAGCGCATCTACTCGACCCTTCTGGTCGAGAACCGGTCGCAAACGCATTAAATAGTGCAATATTAGGTACGATGCTTTACACAAATCTCATAACTTTTACTTAACAGCAATATACCAATTTATTCAAAATTGTTTTGTAGTATCACAAGGGAAACCAAAAATTCCCTCATTAGAGCAAGTTTATCGACAAGCTTCAGTGGTTCTTCACGAATTATCAAAGAACGGTGTTGGTTCAAGCGCTTTTGTAAACGTGCGCAAAGATTGCTTAATTTAAAAGAACAATCGAATAGATAATTACGCACAATTTATAAAACGCATCTTACACTTTTTATTCCTATTTATGTTTGGACCATACATCATTATTCAACATTCCTATCAATTATACATTTGCTTTAACGAAACTGTATAAATCCAAAATTTCTTCGCTAAAATGTTTTATTTTATTTTTTGGAGGAAACAATTAAATGCCCACGTGTGAGTATTGGAGATTGAGAATGTACTTTTGGTCACGCTAATATTCGATGATTTCTTTTTATTTGAATAATGTTGATCTGTATACCCTTCATTTTGTTTTCTTGTTAGGTGTCAAATAAAGAATATTTGGTACTTTGGTAATTTTTTCTTTCTTGATGTAAATATGTTTCAAATTTGTAGACAAATTTCTTTTGATATTTAAATCATTTTAATTCTGATCATTCATGGTCACTTCAATTTTATTCGGTAAAAAAAAAAAAATAAATAAATACATTTTCAAAAAAAAAAAAAAAAAATCAGAATAATTTTTTATGTTTAAATTTAACAAAATACTGTTTTAAAAATCAATCTCACATTTGAATTTCAAATTTTACAGTAGAAATTGCTTGCGTGTCCTAGTGCTTCTATTATGGCTCTTTAAGCAACTTTGTTATTATAAGTCTCATATATGAGGGTGATATACCATTTGGTTGAGTCTTATAGATGGCCATTATGCAAGCCATTGCAAACGAAAAATAAATAACTTCACCGTTTCTTTTTAAAAGAAATAAAATGTGTTCAACAATGTCTCTTGCAAATTTCATAAATCAAAAAAAAAAAAAACATACCTAATATTTCTCACTTTACCATTTTTGGCTAAAAGTCTCCAAAAGGTCTCAATTGATAGTTTTAAACTATACATTCCAATATCTAATCTTCTACTTGGACTTTCGACTAAGATCCATAGACCGGCTATAAATCCGTTCGCATATATTCTTGGTAAGAGAGAAATTACAACAATATAAGATCCATAAGATCTTGAAATAAAAGAATGCAAATCTTGCAAGAAACTTAATCTATTTATCACCTAGTCACAGGCATAAATTTGTTTGGAAGAATGTTTTGGAAGCCGCATATCAAGGCCCATGCTGTAGCAATTGCCATAGTAATAAAAGTTGCACCTTTAAATATCGATGGTACAGCGTGACTCAAAACTTTAATGATTTCTGCCTTAGATCTATTGAAAGAAAGGTGTCAGACATTCAATATGTATTTTGTTGCTCGATCTGTCATAAAATATTATATAATCACCTTGCAAGGGTCCTACACCTGTAGAGCGAAGGAATAATATGCATAATTACCATGAATTTTAAAGATGTAATACCCTCTTTAGTTATGAATCTTAAGTAGGTTGCCAGACAACTAGGGTCTTCCGGATGTAGCACAGCACACATCATTTTGTTATGTGCTGGATGTGCTATTTTTAAAATTGGTTGAATAGGTTTCAATGTATCTGGAAGAGCAGGGTCATTTATACCATGAAGCTTGGGTGAATGGAATCCAGGATATTTAAGTGATGCTAATATCGCAATATGGTCAACGATTTCACAGCCTGTTGGCCAAGGAACATATTTTGGGAGATCACTTGGACGTTGTTGTACGTATGTGGTACTTCTACTAGTAATAAATTTTGAATAGTTATCCTAAAATACATTTTATATAATGATTTATTAGTCCATTACTGTTCTTGGAAGGAAAAACAAAAAAATATATATATATCTCATTTACAGGAAAGATATCTGGATGAACTAAATAAGCGTATATGAGTTGAGCAGAACTAATCGGAAAAATCAACCATGATCCCCACCACCATGGCATTGTAGGAATAAGTCCATTCTGTCTCAGTGCATGGTAAACAGTCTGTAAACTTTTTCCCAACATAAATGTAGCAATAAATATCCTCCTTGATTGGTATTTGTCAAAAAGTAACGAAGGTCCCGCCAACAGACCAGCCAAAAATGGAGGAACCAAAGGTGAACATGCTACATCATTAATATTCAAGTTGTTACGAGGACCAAGCAGAGGACCAAACACGCGTGTAAAGAAACGAAGTAAAACTTTATATATTACAAAATAAGAAGACACTGAGAATGCAAACCGGGCAGAAGATTTAGTAAGTGCGCTATTAATTATTTGTCGGAATCTACAATGAAATATAAGCGTCAATGGTGAATAACCAGTATAATATTCAATTGAATATATCTGTACTTGCTTTTTTTCCTTCCTGAGACGTGCTGGTATCTGCATTGTAATAATCACAAAAGTTGCAATAATATAAGCTTTGAAAAAGTTTGCAATTCCTGTTCTAGTATCATGAGGCAAGCACTCATTATGCAAGCAGCACAGTGTGCTAAAGGAAGTCTGGTGGTTATGTGGCCTAGCACTAAATACGAAAAATAGCGTCTACGTAAAAATAAGTCAAATGGAAATTTACTGTTCTCAGGATATCAACAGAACTAACTTGGCAATAGCGTGAAATTCTTCTTCTGTCGGCAATTTTATGCCGGCCTTTTCTAAAGCTGGTTCTAGTAACTTTACGACATTTGAATATCTTTTGCGTGAAAGTACATAAGGCAATAGATATAAAAGGCGTGCCATTTGCTTTCATAAACTTCTTCCGATGCCATAATATTTTTTTATCAATCTTTTATAGAGAAAAATTTTACTCGTGTAACTGATTGACTAATAAATTATATGTCCTTTCACGTCCTTCACGTCCTTCACGTCACCACACGTCATAAAATTTAGGTAATGATGTCAATACGTAGTAGTACTGTCCGGCAATACGGACAGACGAAAATTATACTAAAAGGTTAATATAGATTTGCAAAATTCAATTTATACATATAAGTAACCATTTTAATGGTTAAGGTTAGTGTTAGAGTGAGCGTTAGTGTTGTCTTGCTTCATGTTGGGATTAGTATGGTGCATTGGGTGTATATCATCGTTCTAAATTACAAACATAGTGCTGTAGTGCAGATTATATCGATATGTTTAACCACTAATTCAATGATCGGCACACTAAACTTTATTCAAATATATAATCTTAACATCAATCTTTATAAAGTTACAGCATATAGTGAGATATGTTAGCTAGAAATTTAAACTAACCACACATGCTTAACTTTATTTTAAACAACTTATCATTCTGTTTGTAATATCAAAAATATATATTTGAACAACCTATATATAGATTTATTAAAAATATTTGCAATGCTTACATTATAATGTTACAAGTGAACTGTAGCCTTTTTAATACAGCACAAGTAACAAAGCATACAGCTATAGAGCTCTGTTGCGAGATTATAGTGGTGTGGAAGTGGAATGTTATGTATATAGTTAAAGAAAGATATATTTTATTTATAGTATACAAGACTTTAATTACAAGAAAGAATTTTATAACCAAAGAAGGTTTCTGTATCTACTTGAGTCTATCTAAGGATGATTCAAACTAACTGGCAGGAAGGTAGAAAAGTCAGGGTTTATATAACAGGAGCGAACGTCATCGTTACACAAATTGCAGATCACTTCCGAAGTCCTCCCAACCAATCAAAATTACGAATTTTAAAGATAGAATTGATATGAAATCGAACGAAATTTGAATTAAAAATTATTAAAATTTATATTTTATATTTAGAATAAAATATCTTAAACATTACAAAATATTTTAAACATTATTACAAATAGACATATATGTCTTTATATATTAAATTATCTAATTATCTATTAATTATTAATTATAATAAAGATCTTTATTTCGCTTCTATATTCAAACTACATCTAATTTTAAACCCAAACTTCGCGTTTATAATTCAACTATTATTTTACTAGTATATATACGTATATATTTACATTCTAGAAAATATACCCAGATCATATCTCAACTATATAAGTAGC